ATTTTCATTGATTCTTTTCTTATCTTTATATAAGAATATTTTATCCGACAGCTTAATTGATAGCTGACCTTTTCTCCATCTGCTTTAAGCCAGGGAAGCACAGTGTTCCTCTTGTAATTACATGTCTGCCACAAGGTATTTTTCTTCTTTTAGGAGATCAAAACAATTATTGACAGCAGGATGCTGTCTTTTCAATATTTTAATCAGGAAGCCCACTATGTTTGTCTTATGCTTTAGCTTGCCAACAGGATTTTCATAGTCTACTGGAGCATTAACAGCAACTGATCATTGGTCAGAAGATCTAACTACCTCTAGGTTATATCAACTTGACAGACAGGATGTTAGGTGAGGGCAGCAGCTCTTCATTAATTGTTTATGCATATGACCCTCTGGTGGAAAGGTGAACATTTTCTGATTTGCCTTGGGCAGTGTAAGCAAGCCTGAAAAAGCCATTGCAATTAAAGAATGTTAATGAGGAAACAAAGAGAGAGTGCTAGTGCAAGCACAGGAACAGCAAGAGTTCATTCTGTTCCACAGACAAATGGTCAAATCTTTATTGATTTAAAGAGGTGAGGGAGTAGAATTCCTGGCTAAGATCCAGCATGATAGTAGCTTCCTGTATCTCATATAACTTGCTGTCGGGGCATGATAGAATGATGTACTGTCCTGCATGAGGCTGACACAGCGACTGACTGTTCTTTAATTGCTCTTGCTTCAGGGTCTCCGAAGATGCAAGGACAAGCTGAATGCTCCTCTGCCCTGTAGTCTTTACTCAGATTGCTAAGGAGTGAGAATATTGGTTGGTTCATAGGTTGTGAGTTGGGAAGGTTGATATCAGTAATGGATATATATATACATATGTATTTTTTCATTTAGAGGAGGAGATGGTGTATACCATTACACTTGAAGACTTCTGACCTTGTAGCCAGAGTAGCTAGATAGCCTGAAGTGCATGCTTCAGCTTCTACCATTGCAACCTGAATGGACTGAGATATCTGAATCTCCTCATCATGGAGCTGTTTTTAATAACAGCGAGGGGAACTATCAAGAAGAAAACAGATCAAGAATAAAATCACCAGCTGAAGAATCTGACTCTGTGGGAGCAGGATGACATCAGTGTTGGCAGAACTGAAAGCAGTGTAAAAACTGCTTTCCATGCTGCGGGAAGTGAGTCCCTAATTGCTTTTGTTTCATTGTATCAGAGCAGAAAATCAAAGCCTGTTTCAAGCTCCACTTAGGGTAAAGGTGGCAACAAAGGCTAACTTCTGGTCTGTTAGGTAGTGTAAATCTAACAGTATTCCTTTCTGAAAGCAAAATCGGATTTGTTTTTGTCATTCAGTTCTCGCACTAAAAAGAGGATGCTGTTTAATTCTGAGGATGTCATAAGGAAGCAAATCACAGAATCACAGAATTGATACAAATACATATGATCAGCTTAAGTTTATGACAGGAAGACTCTGGGAAATCAGATTGCTAAGCATGTATTCTTTATTTTTAATGTGTCAAATTATGAAACTATTCTAGGTAGCTTACCTTAAATTTTTAGAAGGTTTCTTTGCTGATTTCTTCTCCATTGGTAGGCAAGGAGATTAATGTTTCTCAGCAAAAACATTGGCAATTCCCTGTTGTGATCCTGCCTTAATGCACCTTGTGTTACCTCCAGGAGGGTCAACCATACAAATTCTGTGCCCTTGCAGTTCTCCCCTTTCTTGACAGGACTTTGATTTATAATGATCCATGTCCCTGCTTTATTCATATAGGCAGTTCCTATTCTGGATCCAAGTAGGGAAGTCTTACTCACACCAGCAGGTCAAGGAAGGAGACACTCCAGGTCAGGCTGGACTGGGCTCTGAGCAACTTGATCTATTTGTGGGTGTCCCTGTTGGTAAATGGACTAGATGATGTTTACGTGTCCCTTCCAACTCGAATGATTCTACGGTTTTCTGATCCCCAAGTTCTGCTTTCTGGCATTGCCATGAGAACCAGCCAATATTTAATGGACAGCACACTGACATATAGCCAATGATAAATTTAAGAGAAAACATAGATAACCAGTCTGATAGGTACCAAACATTCATACAAAAGCTGAAACTATAACAAGAGCAATTTCTTGGGTAAACCATGTCTTGCTGCTGAGGACAGAATGAAGGTAGCTCTTCTCATCCTTCAGAAAATGACAGCTTCCTGCTACAAAAGGTGACTCCCCCATTTCCTCTCAAAGCCATCTATTTGTTTCATAAATTTTATTAATCAAAAATAAACATTTGTCTGACAAGGCCAGATCTCTCCGACACTGAAGCTCGGATAAGACTTTCTCTTTGTTTGCTCTCAGTGATTCTGTGCTGAACCTATCAACTGGCGACAGGCTGCATTGTTTCTTGGATTGCATATTGGCAAAAGAGGCTGGAAGGAAAATTCCCCGTGTATAATCCAGGAATACCAAAGTGAGATGTTCTACCTGCTCAGGTCTCTCAATCTGTCTGCGCTTAGTTGAACCATGGCTAATCTGGTCCAGTGTAGATGGTGGGGGTGAGGAGAGGGGGCTAATAATTGCTGGTGAGCCTGTACCTTGAGTAAATTGCTGCCAGACAGGAGCAGTGAGGAGGCACAGGGGAACAGTGACTCAGCCATGTGTGTCTGAGTCACAACGCCTCCCAGCTCTGCTCTGCCACCCTCGTTTTAGAGTTGGGGGTTAGCTTTTTTGGCGTTACTTTTTTTCCCCTAGCGCTTTTACAGAGCTATGTCTAGAATAAGGTACTACTGCAAGGTGCCTCCTAATGCTTCCTTTCATCTGCTTTATAAATGAGGGAGCTGTGTAAGGAGAGGTTGAGAGGTTTCTTCTTAGCATGGCAGCCATAATACAGTTGATTGAGACATGACTGCTGTATGCTGCAGGCTGAGGTTAAGCGCAACTGACTGGCTCAGTCAAACAGAAATGCAGGAATTAAGCAGGCAACATAAATCGGATGGATCCTAATCTCTCATCTCTGAGGAGGCAGTGCACATGAGGTCTGTCTTCTGCCACAATAGTGTCTAAACCAGGCACATCCAACCCACAGTTCACAGCCTGCACACGGCCTGGCACAGCTCACAGTGTGGCCTCCCCCTGCCCTGTGCCATCCTGGCAATGGCTCTTTCCCACTGAGCATGAATTGTCATTCTGCAAGGGCTAAACTGCAGTGTGCTGTTAACCCTATCTAGGCTGAAAGCAGGGATGGAGCACAGTGCATTGCCAGCTCAAGTGATGGCAAATAAGTTTACGGATTTTGACACATTGGCTTAACACGGTCCTGTGAACAGCAAAAAAAATGCAGCTGCGTTTTCCATTTTAATAAAGGAATTTGAGAATAGGATTCAAGACTATTTTAAAAAAATCAAATCTCTTGTATGTTTGCAATTCTACTTTCAGTTGACATAAATACATTACTTGTGATTTTTTTAATGGAATGTATAGCGTTTCAATCAAAAATCTGATTGTGTCTCTTTACCAGACCTTTACAAGCCTCATCTGACCAGAGAGAAATACCCCTCGCTTCACATTCACACCTTATTCATATCACTGCTGTTTGGTAGTACATACATCTGAGAACACCTGTTTTCAAGAATGAAGCACAGGAAGAGTAAATTTCATCAAAAATCTATGATGAGCGTAGTGGGTCACCTCCAGCAATACAGATTTTTGCAAGCGTGCTATGCAGGCTCTTGTTTGTTGCTGGCCAAAATACATAGCTAATGGTGGTAGCTATGTGGAAAAACTGCGTTTTGTGGCTGAGAATTTATCAAACAGTGTTGTTGTGCTCTTCATTTCTGTTGTTGTTTCCATTACTTTTGCAGCAACCTATATATATGCATCCCAAAACAACTCCTCTTCACTCAACGTGGCTCAGGCAAGCCAAGAGGTTGGACACTCATGCTTTAAACTTCAGTCCGTAGGGAGTTAGAAAACAGGCTCAGATTCTCTGGTCCAAAATTCCGCATGTCCTTCTGTACCAAGTATTTATTATCTCTTGTATCTTGAAGTACTTGAATGAGAAAGTGGGAAACACTGTGCAGAGAGTGGGAGCAGGACGTAGGTATGCCGAAATTTAACCTTTATTCTGGCTTTTCTTTTTCTGGTTGTATTTCTAGCCCAACCCCTTCTTTTCAAGCAAGTATATGGATGGCTATAAAAAGCATCTGGAAACAAAAAGAAAAATCCAGTGTGTCTTCATTCAGCTACAGATAATACGGGAAAGGAAAAATTATAGCTGCTGCAATTAAGACAGTTAAAACACCTGAGAAGTTCTTGCTTTTTTTTTTTCTTTTTTTTTATCTACAGTGGTAAATGTTACCCTAAGAATGCTACGTAATTATGTGGTCATGTGGAAAAAGCATTTTGACTCTTTTTGTTAATGCTTGCATGTCTTTTGACATATACAGCCCCCTCCAGCATTATTTATAGTGTGCTTGGACAACACAGCCTTTTCCTATGCATTTTCCTATGACTCCCACATGGCTGCATGGCACACAGGGTGTGGATTTGATGATGCCAGGAGTATCTGTCCCTTTATAAATTTTCAATAACAATGCACAGATTTTGAAGCCTATAATATATCATGAAGGCTAGGAAAGAGTTAGGATAAAGAAGGGTGTGATCTAGATGGATCTAGCTATGGACTCACGCTCTGTGTCTTCATTTCCTGTAACCAGCATATATGTGATGATGACCAACTCCATCGTTGAGTTATTTTAACTAAAATACTTGTTCTGTCTTTCACAAAATTGAGATTTGTTTATTTGATTTATGAAACCAAACAAAACTGCCATTCAGCTATTATTATCTTTCAGAATGGACATTAAATCTCAGTATCTCCTTTTAATTTTCAGATTGTATGGTTGTATGGGAACTGTTGAGTCACAACCTGAACCACTGATTGATCACCTGAGGCAAGCACTGAGTCAGCCATGCAGCACAGGTGAAGGCAATTCAGCTGTGTGACCAAAGGGGTGGAGCCTGGCTGCACCTCTCCTAGACCCCATTTAAGGGCTGACTGCCACTAAGGAAGGGTTTCTTGTTGGAGATCCCTTCTTTTGGAGTTTTCTGTTGCGAGCCTAGGATATGAGTGAGTATTTCATTTTTCTTTGTTTCTTTCCACCATGATAATCTTTCTGACTACAATTTTGTAAAATACCAGCCTAACCACGCCATTCTTCTAACTGTACATTTGTTAACTGTGCACAGCATTATTGCATAGGCTGCTCTTCTGAGATGGAATTATGCAGTTGTACAATGCCAGCAAGTCATAGGATCTAGAACAAGCTCCTCATTTCCTGATTTTGTCTGATTTCATTGTAAGTTCTTCATGTTTCTGCTGTCTGAGCTAAAAGCGCAGCCTCTGCCATTGCTTCTTATGTGTTCATGGCTTACGTGACTAAATAGTCTGTGAAGCTGGCAACTGTCAGAATAATCTTTCCATTAAACTGATGGTCCTTTTTAATGTAGTCTGTTTTCTTTTAATGGTAGATGGTATAGCAGTGCAATGGAAAGCAAATTATTTTTTCTTTTTCATTTAATCTTCTTAGGGAAAGAGGTAATCCTCTGCTAATTTCCTCCATCAGAGCAAGCATATGTCTCAATCACATTTGTAGCTGGAGCAGAACAGCACTCAGCACTCAAATTATGCTAATAACCATTTAGATTACTTTTTCTCTGGCATTTATTCATACTGGAGATCCAGCAAGTAAGTCTTTCCACTATGTGAATTTATATGTTAAATCCGCATTATTTTATTTAATACGTCTGCAAGCTTTGGCATGCAACTGTCCAGCTCCTTGGCTTCATGTCAAGCAAGCGTGAAGCAATGCTGCAGTCCCACCTCACTGAACCCTTACTACTTAGTCTTTCTTACTTTGACTTGGCAGTAACAGGTGAGAGGAAGTTCCAAGTCTTGCTTCAGTTAGGAGAAGTATTTTATTTTATATGTTATGTAGGCAGATGAGGTCCAAGTCATGTTCGTATGGCATTCACGTGAGACAGGGTTCTTATGTCATCAAAACTGGTAGCATCATTCTGGGGAGGGAGAGGGACTGTATTATGTATACAGGGACATATGATAAGCCAGGAGAAACCCAGCAAAACATGAGTTATAATCTGCATTCTACAACATTGACTTCAATGCGTGCTGAGCACTAGTTCTGGAGCAGTATGGTTTTATACTGTACAGGTTTTACAATTTCATTTGTTCTGCATCTGAACTGAAAATTTATCAGTTCTGCCTGGTTTTCTTATCATATCAAAGAACGTACTGTTGTGTGGATGTATTTACAATATGGTACATTAAGAATGATTGAGGCTAAGTCAACAGGATTGTCACTCATGTTTTGATGTACCTTTCCCTTTCTTGTCAGCTTTCCCCTCTGAGCACTTCTTGATGGATTTGTTCTGCTACAGATAAGCACAGCTCAGTAGTAGCTGTGAGAGTAACACTAAATACAAATTTCTTTGCAGCATCTCCTTAACAATGCAGAACAACAGATGTCAGTCGTTTGTAGTTGCATTCTTGGGATGAAAGATCTCCTCCTGCATCAAGGTGCACGTGAATTGTTGAACTTGTGTACTGTGGTTGTAATGATCAGTTGTCGTAATCCACACGTTTAATTTTTTTTAAATGGATGGATACTGTAAAACTTGACCATTTCATGCAGCTGTGTACATTTCAGGAAAGGAAGACTGAAACTTAGGGAGGATTTTCTTTTTCTCAGTCTGGCTTCCAAGAGGAACGCTGAACTCTGTTACAAGCTCTCTTTAGAGTGAAAGGTGTGAAAGGTTTTTCAACGTAGATCTGTTTTGAGCTAAGGTTAGGTCTATGTTTGTGCACATATGCTTCAGTCCCTTAGCATTTTTGTTTACGTCAGCATCTTTGACTAGAAGATGGAGACTAGCTCTGAGCAGAAATCTCAATTGAATACTCATTGTGTTCCTTTTTCATGCTTAAATTTGGAGTTACTCTGTTATTCTGCAAGTGATCTTCATTTAGCTTTCTGTTTTCTGCATTATATTGTAAGTCAAATCGTCATCAATGTTAGAAGCTATTTTCTTTTTGGTACTAAGAAGAAGGCATTTGATATACTTTGTTGTCATTGTGGCCAAACTGTGAAACCATTCTGTATTTCCTGCCATTGGAGCAAATCTTCCTCTAAGACCCAACATCCCACTTTTCATCATCATCTCTGGGATTCTCCAATACTGTTTTACTTGGGCTGCTTAGGAATGAAGGAAAACAGGGAACTTTGTGACGATGTTGTTCACAGATGGAAAACATCCTTGAGGAGAAGCACAGCGATATCTTTGTTTCCTTCCAGTACTGTAAGGTTCTGATAAATGAGTACTGAAATACAGAGTGCAATTTTACTACACCAATTGCTCTGGTCACTTTATCTTTTTTTCAATTTTCTATCAAGGCAGTCCACTAATAATTAAATCAATGGTGTTTTCTGTCTCTCAGTCACTAACCTAATTCTTCAAAAATTTGTTTTTACAATAGGAGAACTAAGATGAGGGATGTATTGTCAGAACTGATTTCTGTTACTTTGGTATTGATTCAGAGCACTTAGGTATTTGGCAGAAATTATCATTCTCACTAGCACAACTCACAAAGAATCACCTTCTTGCAGTCTGGTCTGTTAAACAACTGATATAAATTATTGCTATTAATGACAATACTGAGATACCACAAAACTGTGTTTAAAAACCTGTAATAATAGGTAGTGAGAGATGACCATGGCTCTGAAGACCTTAAGCCAACAGAAGGGTTAGAGAAGCAAATTTGAGTAATGGTTTGTCTAAAGCTACTTGTAAGTGGCAGAATTCAGATTGCTATTAGCTGAACCACTGAGTCATGCTGTCTTCTTGGAGCACCATCTTTATCAACAGATATATTTGTATTTGCATACGTGCTCAATCTATGCTAATGGGCAATCCTATTCTTACAAATTGTTCTTTCTGAATATTATAAGGATTATTACATCCTTAAGAAGATGACTGAAATACCCAACAATCTGTTAGAGGGTGCCAATTAAAGTTTTAATGCTGTAACAGCTGTTGCCTACTTGTAAATGATTTCTCCTAATTTTGGGATTTTCTGTTAGCACATAAAATGCTTTGTTAATAAATGTGAAAGTCCCCAAGGAATTCCGTGCATTAAACTTTAATAATTGAAGAGTGCAGAGGAATAGCTGAAATTAAAAAATACTGCAATACAGAACAACTTTTAAAAAGTGCAACTTCTACTGAAATTATAAACTCCCATGACACATTGTCCAGGTATTTTTCACCTGGAGAGATCAGCTCTCAACCCCTGAAACATTTTGGCCAGGACAGGTTATTTGGAAAACTAAAGCTTTCCTCCAAGTCTTTTTGCGCTTAGTGTAACAGTTCCAGCACAGGTCTATAAGCTTCAGCAAAACTGCAGCTATTTACATCACCTGGAAATTTGGCTCACTGTATGCGTGAGCCTATTGTACACTATTCAGCAGCTGTCCTGAGCCATTTCCTTTCAAGTCATCTTTTCCCAAGTCCTTGAACTCCTCACATCAAGTCAGATTTGACACAGTGCTGGAAGATGCAGGTCAGACAAATGTGTAGCCTGGAGATGATACGACACATCCAGTGGTGAGGATTACTGGAGGTAAAATATCCCATATTTTAAGCAACATATACAGAAGATTAAATCTTTGAAACCAGTAGTTCAGGTGATGAGTTTTCCCAGGAAGTATTTCTTGTAGGATAGGGATTTTGCTGAATTTACTTCAATATCTGTGGGGGCCGTGGAGGCATAAGATTATGATAATAATAACAGTAATAATAATAATAATTAACATAACCATATATAGACTGCAAGTAACGTAACCAGAACAACAACAGTAAGGTAGTAAAGTAGTAATGTAACCAGATGTAAAAAATGAAATCTTGCTTATTCTAGATTAGTGTTAACTGTAGCCAAGAAAGATCTCTGTACTAGCAGACACATCCCTCATCCTGTAATACTGCCATTCTCTTTGGGTTTTGCTATCAAGGCTGGCCACGTTTATCTTTTTCCTCACAGTTTCGTATACCTTGTTGTTCAAAGAAGTTAACACTAGCTGTTGCTTTAAATTATGCACCTCTGAGGTCTGGTGGAGAGAGCTCAATATATTGTGTGTTCAGCCCTGGCTCCAGTGTCATTTTAATTTAGAAGAGTAAAACTGGCACGTATCATTTCCACTACAGCACAGTTTGTGTACTGCACCATCCCAGTCTCTAAGCTGCTTGTGTACATTATGCACATAGTACGTGCTGTGAGATCATTGCAAGGCCCAGGGGTAACCACTCTCAGAATCACCAGCAGGTTTAAAACCATCCGTGCTCTCACGTGAGGGTTTTCTCCATCAGAATCAGTGCCTGGGTGGATCTCTGTAGTCGCCAGCAGCTTTGCTCCCAGCAGGGCACTTGGGTAGAGGAGCAGCCTGGGCTTCTCAGCAGCTTTCACCTTCTGCTCCCCCTAAAATAAGGGGTCAGAAGTTCTGCCACAGGGTTGCCCAGAGGTGTGGTGTGTGATGGAGCAAAGGCAGGCTGGATCTGCATGCTTTAGGGCTGTATTTTCTCGAAGGGGCTACACAGAAGAGAGGTGTCACATAGAGCAGAACAGTTTGAAAGGAAAGGCCAGCCCCAGTTGAGCACACATCTGGAATTTAGTATGATGTAGGGGATATTTGCTTGAGCTCATCTTTTTTGCTGTAAACACTAATCTATCCTTTTCAAATGGCATTTAATTGCACACTTCAAAAGCTTTTACTTTGGGAAAAAAAAAAATTGGTAAATAACATGATGAAGTAGGATTTATTGGACTCCCTTTTTTTTTAGTTAGAACAAAAACAGATTAGCACAACAGAGTAATTACGAGTTAATTATTCTAATAACTTTCTCTCACTTTCATTTTTATTTTTAATCTTGATTTCTTTTTCTATGCTGAAAAACAGGAGACAATCCAAACAATGAATTAATTAATTACTCTAAGCTCCTTGATCTCTTCCTTGTTTTTTCCACCCCCTCTTTTCAGATCATTACAACTACGAGACAATCAGA